GTTTCGAGATGTTAACTTGAACAATACATACTGACCGATGAGTTCGTGATTTCAAAAAATTTTAACGCTGAGTTTAAACTAAATAGCAGGACTACTCCAAAAGTGATATTGCCACCGCAGAACTTCAGATGATGGCCATTTCTTACCCTAAAACTGTAGTATATTAAGCGACTTGTAAACCTAGAAAACGTCCGAGCTGCTGTAGAAATTCGCGATTTGTAAGAGACATTGAACTTTAGGTTTGTAACTAAGTTTTGGGTAGAAAAATTGCCAGCACCTTAGAGTTCTAGGGTAAGTAAAAAAGCTCCGGGGATATGAGATACGTGGACGGGGGTAACTCTAATTCTAGTCCGAGGTGCTGTAGAAACTCACGATTCGTAAGAGACTGATTTTTAGGCTAATATTCAGTTTTTGGCAGAAATATGACTAGCACCCCGGAATTCTAAAGCGCATAAAGAGTTCTGGCAGTGTGAAACATTCATACAGGGGTAGTTCTGACCAGAACTACTGCAAGTAGACACAATTTTAAAGCTACGAACTCGTTCGTGAATACGACTATCGCTAGGGAGTACTCCCTACCGAAAATTCAAAACTTATGAATTAGAGGTGCCAATTTCCTGGCGATTCTGTTCTGCCATTAAGAACTTGTAATAAAAATTCAAAATGATAGATGCACGTTGGGTTTTTGAGTTACAAGTGAATAAAATTTAATCGGTGCCAAAAGGACAAACCGAATTAGACTGGTGGACTACGCTGTGCTAAATGCTTATTAAAATTATCTTTTTACCAATTCTACAACTTCAGTACCTAGCAAAATGTCTGTTAAACAATATACACAACCTAACCATTAGGATGAATCTAAAAAGACGACCCGAAATATTCGGATAGTAATAAATTAAACACTATCTCAGAAAACTGTTCACACTACTGTTGGAACTAATCTTGTACATGGTTCTGTATTAGTTATTTAATTTATGACCTAGGTGCAAATTGTATCTCTTATACGATTAGAAAAAAAAATCAAACATTATTAAGTCAACCGATGTCGATATGGCGGCAGAAAGCCTACTAGCTTTTATAATTTAGAATAATTGTTTCCTGTGTGTGCACATAGTTATATACGTGTGTTTTTGAATATATGCGTCCATGTATGTGTTCACTATGCACACATACATAGGTCTATATAGAGCGTCTTTCAAGCAAAACGCAGCAGATTAAACCAGACTACCGACTTCCTAGTAATTTTAATTGCACGCATTCAGATTGTTGAGAATATATTTCATGGCTTGCATGGGGTAAATTACAAGCTAACTGCCGTGCAATCTGTATAACGTTTACGTTTTTATCTGGTCTTGGTATTTTTTTTTCTTTTTGATTTCGCAGAAGGTCATTATGTGTATACTAGGTCCAATTAAACCAACTGGTATTAGGTAGGTTTACTTATACGTACATAATCATCTTACCTGCTCCACATAAGATATGTATTGCTAATTCATTATTATTATATGTATCTACAAAAGCAATAAAGCAGATATTTGATAAATGTAAAGATAAGAAGATAAAAAAATATACTTATATCTATAAATAGTCAGGTTGTACCCCTTTTATAAACACTGCAGTCTACAAATATTTCTGTTTTACCTATAACAGATGATAACATTTTTTCGAAATAGAAATGGTATAGAAAAATAATGTATGCGCTGATTTGTCGCTGAAAGATGGTATATTTACTCATTTTGTCGCGAATTCAGCCTCGAACTGATCAGCGAAAACGACTCGAAAGCCGTAAGGCCGACATTATACACAGTATACCGTAATTTGTCGCCGAAATATGGCACTTACTTTTGCCCATTTTGTGGTGAGTTTGTCCTCCTGGTGAAACGCCTGAAAAGTCGAGAAATTGGCACTGCACATAGCGCTTCTCGAAATAGAAATGGTATAGAAAAATAATGTATGCGCTGATTTGTCGCTGAAAGATGGTATATTTACTCATTTTGTCGCGAATTCAGCCTCGAGCTGATCAGCGAAAACGACTCGAAAGCCGTTAAGCTGACATTATACACAATGTATCCCGAAATAGAAGTATCGTAGAAAATTACTGTAAGAGGCGTAATTTGTCGCCGAAATGTAGTACTTACTTTTGTCCATTTTGTGGTTACTCTGGCCTCCAGGTGAAACCCTGAAGGATCGCGAAATTGGCACTACACATAGCGCATCTCGAAATAGAAATGGTATAGAAAAATAATGTACGCGCTGATTT